ATGTTTTAATGAACTCAAACACACATGTTGCATTAAAGCACCAAACATCACGTAGGCAGAAATATGTGAGCGAGTTAAAACTAGACTTTAGTGTTTTCTTGATAAAATGAGGGGCTTTGAGTGGTTTTAGGAAGGAGAGAGGGGCCCCCCACGTGTGTGTGTGTGCGTGTGTGTGTGTGTTATAGCTGGGGTCAGGTGCCTGGTGCTTTGTGTATATCTGCTTACTGTCTGCCCTGTCGCAGAGGCGATGACATCATAGCACACGGCCTCAAACGATGGAAAGAATTCCACCCCCCACCCTCTTGAAAGACCGAGAGATAGAAGGAGCGATGAAGGACGGGGTAAGAGAGGAGAGGACGACACGATGAAGGCTGAGGGATTTAAGAAAAGATGATCGACGCTTAGTCAGATGAGAATGGAAGAAAAACTTGTGAATAATCTGTAAAATATTTAATTTCATTTCACTCATTTCCTGAACATTGAGGATTCTTTTATGTGTAATTTTTATTATTATTTATTATTCCTTATTTTTTGTACCTTATTCTGTACTATGTTAGTATTCTTCACCTAATTATAATAGACCTTTCTTTGTTCTGTTTGGCCTGAAATTCAGGAAAGAGAGTCAAAATGAAAGGCCACACATCCACCGGGGACCTTTCGGTCTGCTGGCTTCGCCGTCTTTAGTTTCTGTGATGATGACATAGTGCCAGCAGAGCCGAGATCATGCTGTATTTTAAGTGCCGTCTGACAGAAGAGTCATCTGAAGACTTAGCACGTGATGGCTGCTCTTGAAACGGCTCCTTGCTGATCAGGCAGCAGCAGCCAACGCTCGTCAGAAGCACGTGTTTAGCTCTGCAAGCCGAGAAGGCCGAGTCGAGTGCTCTAAGTACGTGTTTGTGTGTGTCTGACAGAGAGCCCAGAATGAAACAAGTGCATCTGGAATAAATAAACTTTTATCACCGGCGATTTATACGTGCCACACACTGGCAGGTAGCTCCCAAAGACGGAATAAAACTGGACGCACTGTTAGCTTTTACAGGCGTAATAATCTTAGCTTCTGTTTGTTAGGACAACGAAACAAGGAGAACTATGTCAAAGGAAAGGGTTGCATTTGACGTGGTAATTTACAGAAAAATCTGAAACATAGTAAAAAAAAGGTATGAAACTTTAGAACATATAAACATCTAAAAACCCCTCTTTTGGAAGAAAAATCTGTTTGTAAAATCAAGACATTGGAGCTTATGAATGTATGTTTTGATTTGTAAAGCACTTCCGATGAAAATGTGTTTCTCTGTTAAACACTGAGGAGTTCCCCCGTCATGGGACCGGATCCACCAAACCAGATCTCAGCCTCCTGAGGTTCTCCTTCCTGGAAAGACTCCTGCCGTTCAGATGCATGTTGGGACGTTTGCCCACTGACAGCTCGGTCAGTTCGGTTGACCAAAGAATCTGTGGGTCTTCGCTCAGTCCAAACACTCGATCTGTCTCCACTTAGATGGTCTCATCCCTGCATTCCTCTCTGCACTGCTGCTGTCACCCGCAAGTAAAGAGGAGAGCTTAGCAGTGTGTCGTCTCAAATGTTTAATCCTCTTGATCCGTGTGGATTTCTCTGGTGATTTAGTTTGTTTTTGTTCAAGCTCGTGACTTTTGCCCCATGTTGGTGGCACCAAAGAGATCTGAATATGTCCTCAACTCAACTTAGAGTTGCAGAATTTTCAAGTTGCTCAAGAAAATCCTCCTAAACTCAGTCATGTTGCAGAAATCTGTTTTTTTTTTTTGGCTCTGCGTCATCTTCCTTACACCTGCCCTCCCTTCCCTCAAACATGCTGAATGTGTCAATGCTAATATTTAGATTTTTTTTACTATCATAGATCTTTCTAATCTATATAGTTTTAGCTATAATTAATATAGCTAAACAGCTAACAGAAGCTAACCCTTTCTGACAGTTCAAAAGTATAACACAAACCAATAAACAAAAGTATTATTTTTCAGTAAATTGTCATCGTTCCATGTTTTTGTGTGCACGTGTGATTGTGTGTGGCCTGTGGAATAGTGAAAATTCCTTTAGTGATTTAGATCCCCTCTGAAAATTGGCTCCATCCCTGAGAATTATCAGCGTTGGGCTTTCAGTTCGGCCCAATCTGAGGCTGGTGGGATGAGTTGGATGTGGCTTGCTGCTTCCTGACCACAAGGAATGTTATCCATCTGTCAGCTTCCCCGTCGAAGCAAAGGGAGGGGGAAGCAGGCGGAGGCAGGAGAGCTGGAGATAGAGGCTGGAGAGCGTGATGGAAACAGCTTAGATGGGTGTGTTTTCACATGGGGAAGAAAGAAAAATGGTTTGACTTAATTATGGATTTATACCTAATGTACGTTTTTAATATTTAATATCATCTATGTACACCTAAAACAGTGGATTGGTTAAAACTTTTGGTACTTTGTTTAAGCTTCTGGTTGCTAGTATTATGACAAAAATCCAAATGAATTGCTTCAAATTGATCAGAACTCTGGAGATTATTATTGGCAAGGGAGGAGATTATTATTGGCAGATTATTATTGGCAAGAATTTGGCGATACGATACATATCATGACAGAGGGGTCAMGATACGATATATCCCAATACATTGCGATACTATAAGCAAGGCGATATATTGCGATTTTTTTGTCCAAAAATTCTATTAAATAAAAACCTCTTACAGGGGAAAAAAATGAAAAAACAAAATTCATTGTCTCAGAAAATTCTAATATTACAGAGACATGCTTTTGATACATTTAGCTGTGTTCTGCTTTGTATGTATTTTATTTTATTTGTTTAATATTTCTTATTTCATCCATGTTTTCAATTATTAGGACTAAATTTGACAATAAATAGTTTGAAAATATATTTTTTGCAGCTTTTAGTTTTTAATATTAATTTACAATGTGGTCACCCAACACTTAACAATGGCCTCTACCTCAAGAGGTAGAGTAGCCAAATGGCTGGCTCACTGCTGCCAACTAGTGRTCAGAGGCTGAACTACAACATAAAAATGAATGGCTGGCAGGAAAGTTGACATTTTAAACCATAATAAAAAAATCAATACAGGGCTTTAGAATATCGATACAGTATCGGGAAATGAAATATCACGATATTTCAGTGTATCGATATTTTCTTACACCCTTACTGGAGATATTACGTTTTAGTCATAAGTTCATGTATGTGAAAGCCCAGAGGTCATGGCTTTGGAAGCTTTTAGTAATTTTGTTGACAACATTTGAGTTAAATGGAGGCATCAAACAAAAGCAAAGACCTTGTTGAAATGCTGATTATAGCTGGTTAATAGTATTGTAGTCAAGACCACCTAACCTGAGACCAAGACCAGAGTGTATTGAGACCAAGACAAGACCAAGACTTTTAGGAGCTGAGACCAAGTCGAGATCAAGACCAAGGGAGGGTGAGACCAAGTCGAGACCAAGACCTAGGGAGGGTGAGACCATGTCAAGACCAGGACCAAGGGAGGGTGAGACCAAGTTGAGACCAAGACCTAGGGAGGGTGAGACCAAGTCAAGACCAAGACCTAGGGAGGGTGAGACCAAGTCAAGACCAAGACCTAGGGAGGGTGAGACCAAGTCAAGACCAAGACCAAGGAAGGGTGAGACGAAGTTAAGACTAAGACCTAGGGAGGGTGAGACCAAGTCAAGACCAGGACCAAGGGAGGGTGAGACCAAGT